AAGTTTTCACGGGAAAGAAACAAGCTCAGTCCCCTGCCGCTGTCTCTCCCGTCGCGTCCCGACGTCGCGACCTCTCACTCTGTCGTCTCAATGACGACGAGACATTCACGCGCTGGATGGATGTCGTTGTTTGGAGATGAGGACAACAAAACCAGGTCGTGGCTGGGTATCACACGTGAACGAGAGAGCTAGCACAGTGAAGTATTTCATCGAGAGGGGGGGCGGGGGTCTCGCTTCTTGTCTGCATGCATGCCACGCGTGTTTGACGGGGGTGGTTATGCACGATCCCGGGGAGCACTTCTCATAGTTGAGGAATTTCGTCGATGTGAGCTCTTTGTCGTCGGTAGCGACTAAGTTTGGGAGAACGAAGCATCCCGCGGCCGTGAGAGCTTCTTTTATTTTGTCGGTGCGGGAGCTCTCCTCGTCGTCGGTGTCGACCAAAGAGTTTGGGGCGGGAAAAGGGCTCGATACTCCTAAGAGTTGTGGTTTCTAATGTGCAATTGATTTTTTTGCGCGCTTTTTTTCTGTTCCCTAACATCGCGATATTTGAGATTCACATGGATCATTCGATGATATAGCAGACGAATCGGACAGCCTTTTTCAACTACGGCCAATTGTATTCTTGTGTTTCTTGTGCACACGGACTATGGTCTGTGAACACGAAAACGACATACTCACGAATAAGCAACTTGGGGGTCAGGTGTGTTTTAACCCTTGACCTTACGAGGACTGAACAAATCACCTTGTTGTGGCTATCGCCACTCCCCAAAGGTCCCACGAGATACCCTGGAGTGAAGTGATGGATGTGTAAAAAAGGTACATACGGGTTATCCCCAGCAGGCATAGCACCTTGCGATAATCCCTGTGTCCACTTTATTTGCACCACGACCCTGGCAGAGCATGTCCGACAACCTACCCCAAGGTGTCGGACCGTACAAGGTCATTGCCTTCGACCACCCCCCCAGGAACAACACCTTACTAGGGTCTCCCCTCACACCCTGTACTAACCCTAACCCTGACAAGGTCTTGGCCTATACACCGTACAGGGTGGGCCTAACCATAAGTTTGGTATGGGGTAACCGAACCATAGCACTAGCAACTTGTTTAGACTATGACCTGCCAGGGGTATAGTCGACAACGCAGCTCAGGGTGTTGGCCTGTGCAAGGTCATGACTCCATGGAAGAGCACCTTACCAGGGTCCTTTCCGGACCTTGTAGTAGGTAGCCACCCTGTACACCCCCCCTACAGGGTTGCCTACAGGGTTGACCTCCCTACCAAGGGGTCCCCAGGGTTAGCCGAATGACCACCGGTGTCCGCATGATCATGAGTAGCCGGGGTAGATGGATCAAATCAAACACCCCTACCTACAAGACTATATTTCCTGCTGGGCAGTGCTAGAAGCGGCAACGGCAAGTAGTAGTTTGCAAGGCAGGTGGTTGTATGTATTGGATCATGGTAGTTCGCTGTGAGCTGCTTCGCTGATCATCATGTCGAGCTTTGGTCGATGTACTGTACTTTTATTATTGTAGATATGGGGCGCTACCGTACGTGTGTGTTCCTGTAGCACGGCTGGGTGAGCGTGGGCTGGCTTCTGACGAATAGATGTGGAAGCGGTACAGAGGAGGGGCCGATATAGTGCAGGGGTGTGTCCAGAAATTTTACCTATACTATTGCGGGCACCTACAATACTCCGGAGAGTGCCTCAATAGTGCAGGTTCGGCACTATTGATGTTTCGAACAACCCTCAATAGTGCAGATCCTGCACTCTTGAGGAGATGTTTGATTTCATGGTGTGGCGCTCACGCTTTGCGGGGCAAACCGGGTACGAAATGGATCGAATTGCAGTAGTACTGGGCCCCGTCCTAGCGTGGGCGTGGGCTGACTGTCTCGTGACGCGTGTGGTTCCCCCTTGTCGCACACACAGAGATATTATAGAAAAATTACTTGCATGTTCCTGTTAAGGAGTGTGGCTGCTAGCATGAATAGGGTACATCTTATTGTTGATAGGATGCGGGTCGGTCAGGAGGTATACCTTTCTGACCCCTACCCCCTTAGGACCGTTTTAAACGGACCGACTTTTTTGTCAAAATTTTCGACAGTTGTCTTTCAAAAACTTGGAACCTGTGTGCAGTCATTTTAAACGTGTGACGTAGACTTGTGCAACTTGTGTCAAAAAAAATGACGCCGTCCGTGAGTTGTAGCGCTCACTTCGAGACAACACAGACGACACAACACAAACCGCGGAAAACACGACATCATGGACACCGACATGGATATCACGACCACCCAGCGTGGCCGGCAGACCAAAACCCCGGCGAAATTCCAGCAGACGGGCTCTCTCGGTGCCGCCGTAGGCGGTGGAGGCTTGCTCTCCAGCAAGATAGTGCTGCTGCCTGGCATCTCGGGGAACACTCATGTTACCACGGGAGGCGCTGCCGCCACCAACACTCCGCCGGCGAGGGGTGGCAACCACTGCTCCTACCCCCCCGGGAAAAGGAAAAAACAAAGCGGCGGACGCGAAGCAACAACTGCAAGCCATCATGGCGGACCGCCGTTTTTTTTTTTTGTATTGCGCGTGCCCGTGGGCGAGGAGAGCCGCTCGAATCTGTAGGCGCGCCGCGCTTTCTACGGTCGGCCATGACCCACACACAACCCTAGCTGACTTTCTACGGTGAGGGGCACTCGTGGTGCAGACGCAGCAGCCCTCGCGTGCCTCTGCAAGGGTACTTTGGAAAGTGCTCCAAATACTTTGAGAGGGTTGTCAAAAAGTTGGAACGAAGTGGAGCAAAGTTTTCGCGCCCAACTTCGTTCCAAATATTTTGAAAAAATATGGACAAACGCCTACATACAGGTTCCATTTTTTTGACACTTTCAAACATTTTGACAAAAAGTCGGTCAGTTTAAAACGGCCCTTAGAATTGTCTACTCTGTGTACTCCCTGAGATGATGTTGGATCCCCACTCCATCTCAGACCCTTGCTGATCGTCTCTCAGCAATAACAAGCAACTTTCCCATCTCAACATGGTCGTGGACAAGCGTGTCAACGACAGAACCTTCATCTATCTCAAGGAGCAAGCTACCGCCCACGGCTTCACCTCCTTTAAACTATGGCGTAAGCGGCACTACACGGTAAGCAGGTGCTGGACGCGGCTTCCTCACTGCTGTGTGATGTTGCCGCGCTTTCTTCGCAACCACTGGGTTGCTTGTTAGTTGGTATCACCACCCACGTGAATCTAGACTTAGCCTCGTCTCTGCTTCCTCTTCTGTAGAAATGCTGGCTTGTGATGCTTTTGCGAAGCGCCCGCGGGACTGGGGCCTTGCAAAGGATACGCGCCTCGGAGGCCATCGCGATGTTTTGGGCGATTTTTAGTACGTTCGCCGTCCCTCAAAAGCTATTTTATCTGCATCGGCGGTCCATGAGGTGATTTCTGTGGCAGATACACTCTGCATGGAGCGACCTGAGTTGCTGGCCTTGTGTAGAGGGACCCGAAATGACAGCATGCTTCCCACGTCTGCTACCACCTCCACTGCATTCGTGCCGGCGTCCTGGCCGATGTCCGCGGATTTTCCTATTGTGCTCTCCGATTTGACTCCGCTTACTTCGACTTGGAGCGCGTTGTGTGCACACAAATTGGGTGTCAGCCGTCCCACCAGCCTTCCCTCCATTTTTCACATGGCCCTTTTGTTCGGGGAATCGTTCACCCTCAAAGCATTTGAATTGGAAACCTTTCAACAGCGCAAACCCACAGCGGTCTTTGCTCGCACTTCGGCACCAGTTGCGCAGGAACGCCGTGCTGCTCTGCGTGTCTTTTGGTCGGAAAACCTCGCGTCTCCATCTAACACGGGTCCTTTTGTACAAGCTTCTACTGCTGTTTGGGCGTGGCATGGTGTGCTTTTGGACGCTTTTTCTGCTTGGTTGGATCCGCTTCAATCTCGTGTGCACCAAGCTTTTATCACTGGGCGGATGCTATCCTGTGGGTATCTCTGCCTTTCGCATGGACCTCGGCTTGCTTTTCCCGAAGTTGCACCCAGCTTTACTGCTTCTGCTGCTCTTGGTTCTGCTGCCTCAACTGCGGTTGGTTATGCTACATCTGCTGTTTCTGGCCCTGCTGCCCTTTCCACAATCGATCGTAGCTACCCTCTCTCTGGCCCTGTCCTTGTTGAAAAAGAGGACACCATGTCCAGCGGCAATGTTGAACTCCTGGGCGACAATGTGGAAATCCTGGATTACGAACCCGAGGGCNTCTAACACGGGTCCTTTTGTACAAGCTTCTACTGCTGTTTGGGCGTGGCATGGTGTGCTTTTGGACGCTTTTTCTGCTTGGTTGGATCCAAGTCAACCTTGTGTGCACCAAGCTTATATCACTGGCCGTATGCTATCCTGTGGATATCTCCGCCTTTCGCATGGACCTCGGCTTGCTTTTCCCGAAGTTGCACCCGACTTTACTGCTTCTGCTGCTCTTGGTGCTGCTGCCTCTGCGGTTGGTTATCCTACATCTGCTGTTTCTGGCCCTGCTGCCCTTTCCCCATTCGATCGTAGCTACCCTCTCTCTGGCCCTGTTCTTGTTAACAAAGAGGACACCATGTCCAGCGGCAATGTGGAACTCCTGGGCGACAGTGTGGAAATCCTGGATTACGAACCCGAGGGCGAGGCTCCCACTGCAGAGCAGTTTCCAGCGGCCGGTGCGGGAGACGAGAGCCGCCCCATGCCCATCGTGTTCACAGTCAATAGTCTGCTGGCCAACATCGCCACGGCGGATCCGGCGGACCTGGAGGAGGCCTANGGATGCTATCCTGTGGGTATCTCTGCCTTTCGCATGGACCTCGGCTTGCTTTTCCCGAAGTTGCACCCAGCTTTACTGCTTCTGCTGCTCTTGGTTCTGCTGCCTCAACTGCGGTTGGTTATGCTACATCTGCTGTTTCTGGCCCTGCTGCCCTTTCCACAATCGATCGTAGCTACCCTCTCTCTGGCCCTGTCCTTGTTGAAAAAGAGGACACCATGTCCAGCGGCAATGTTGAACTCCTGGGCGACAATGTGGAAATCCTGGATTACGAACCCGAGGGCGAGGCTCCCACTGCAGAGCAGTTTCCAGCGGCCGGTGCGGGAGACGAGAGCCGCCCCATGCCCATCGTGTTCACAGTCAATAGTCTGCTGGCCAACATCGCCACGGCGGATCCGGCGGACCTGGAGGAGGCCTATAGCCCAGGACGTGCCTCTCTGGAGGATATTGCCGGGGCGGCCCGTCTGTCACCCGATTCCCCCCTTTTCGTTCCCCCTTTCTCGCTCCCGCCGGAAGCCAAATTAATTATCTTACCCCACAATGAGTTATGGCTTACCAAAGGTTGAACGAGATGTGGTGCAACGGTCTTGCCGGGAAGATAGCAGAGGCGGACGCGCGAGAGCACGCGAAGCGCGAGGACGCGGAGCGCGTGGCGGAGCGTGAGGCTGCTCTGGCTGCTGCTGCGAGGAAGCAGGAGGAGGAGCGTGAGGCTGCCCTGGCTACTGCTGCGAGGAAACAGGAGGAGGAGCGTGCGGCTGCTCTGGCGGCAGCCCGGAAGCAGGAGGAGGATCGTAAAGCTGAGCTGGCGGAGCGCGAGGCGTACGTCCAAGCTGCTATGGCGAAGCAGGGGGCGCTCCGATCACGGCTGGACCACCTCGAGTTCCGCCCCCGTGGCCCGCATGCAGCGGCCTTGCCCTCGCTCTCTCCCAATCGTCGTGTTGTTGCCCCCCCCCAATTGCAATCCCAGCGTGCCTCTGTGGCGAAGGAGAACGGACGGGAGGTGGCGGCTACTCCGGAGGTTTCGGTGACGTTGGGTCGTCGGGCCGGTGAAGACGGGGCATCGACTGCGGCCGAAGCCGCGGGGTACGAGTTCCATGTTGGCGAGACGGCGTTCCTGTCCCGCCAACTAGAGATGCCAGCCGAAGACGTAACTTTCCACGATGAGGACAAGCTGGAAGCTCTTTTTGCATTGTTGTTGTTGTTGTTGTCTTCACATTAAACCGTATGTCAATTGCTAAATGCCAAAATCTAGCAAAGACTCTCAGCCCGTGGTCACGAAAGTGCTAGAGCCATCTGAGGATCTAAAGAACACGCACACATATAACGAGAAAAACGTATCCAAGAGCCCGAAGAGGTACACCTAAAAATCCTGCAGCACCGTATGCGTGTCCAAAAACTGAACTGCACGTCCGTCCCATCGTTCGACTACAGTAGCATCATTAGTCAGCCCGAGCAAAACGCCACTCGACCTGTTCCGTCCGTACACGCTTTCGTTGCTGTCCTTGCCAGTCGGTTCCTCGCTTTCTCCCTC